TTGGCTGAGCAAAGGCGGCGCCTAAAGAAACGCAGCTCTGTCCCGCTGGAAGCGGCTTCCGCCAGTCCACCATCCCCTTCCGCTCAGCAGGTCCCGGGCTCGGAGCTGTGCCTTCCCTGGGAGCCGAATTGACCCCGTCCCTTGCATCGGCCACAGCCAAGCTCGCCCCTCCCTGCATTAGCTTCCCGGGGCCCGTGCAGAGTTTTGTGGGCAGGCCGGCCTGGGGTGCAAGAGGTGGGTGGTGGGAGCGCCTGCTGAGGGGGGTCTGCATCCCGTCAGGCGGCCAGTCCAGCTGCCCCTTCTGTGAGAACTGCCTCTCTCCCCGCTTAGCTCTATCCCCACAAAACCCTGAACTTCACGGCGGAGAACGTCTGGAAGTGGGCCCTGGAGAACCGGGAGACCTTCCTCCGCTGGCTGCGGCCCCACGGGGGGAAGAGCCTCCTGCTGCACAACGAGCTGAAGAAGGGGCCGGCCCTTCTCCTCTTCCTGCCCTTCGATCCGCTGGCCGAGAGCCACCCCCTCCTGGATGAGGTGAGGGAGGGCTGCCCCTAAGCAGGGTTCAGAAATTGGGGGTCCAAGCCATTGTTTGGCCAGGCATCCCAGAACAAGCCCGAGGGGGGGGGGGAGGCCTGGCATGGCTGCTGACCAGCCTAGATGTCCTTTCGGATCCTATGCCCTGCCACAGCTGTTGGGCCCTCGTGCTGCCAGGGCTGTGTCTGCGGCAGTGAGGTTCCCCGGTGGGAGCAGAGCTTATGGTTTGCTCTTCTGTTCTGCTCTCTAGATCTCCAAACTGGCTTTAGAGTACAAGAGCTGCAACCGAGGCCAGCAAGCGGACGTGGAGCTCCAGTCCCTGCGGGGAGGGGATCCCCTGGGGGCTGCCGGCCTCCCCCTCCCCACCGCTGAAGCTGCCTCCAGCCCCCGCTGCTGCAACACGGTGTTGCTGCCCGCCCAGTGGCACGGCCTCTCCCGGACCCACAACGTCTGCGAGCTGTGCATCAGCCAGACGGGTGGGGTGCAGCCTGGCCCCCTGGTGCGTCTGCGCTGCAGCTTCGTGGCCATCAAGGCCGCCGTGGACTCCTTCTACCTCAAGGAACAGGCCTCCTTCCACGTCCTATCCAAGACGGTTCCCTGGTGCAGCCACTTCCTCAGCTTCTACAGCCCGTTCAGCTCCTACACGGCCTGCTGCAGGACAGTGAACAGGGACCGGCTGGACTTGGTCAGGGCCAAAGGGGCCTCTTTCCACCCGCGGGACGTCTCCCTCGCTCCCCTCGGAGAGAGCCCATCGAAGGAGGAGGAGGAGGAGGAGCAGGCCGGCCTCTCTGGTCTCAGCTGCAGGACCAACAAGACCCTCAACCTCTACCTGTTGGACTCCAACCTCTTCTGGATGTACGCGGAGAGGCTGGGGGCTGCTGGTTCTCCCCCAGTGAAGGAGTTCGCGGCCATCGTGGACCTCCAAGAAGAGGTGCACTACGTCCTGGGCCAGAAACGGGCCCTCTTAAGAGCCAGCCTCGGTACGGCCTGCTGCTGCCCCTCCGCCGGCTCCACCTGCGCGGCAGGGGCGGTGGGAGGAGGACGGCAGCCAAGAAATTTTGCCTGGGAAATGCTGCAATTTCTCTCCTTTCCTGCAAACTTTTGAGGCTGCGCAAAATACCAAGGAGACCCAGAGCAGATCTCCTGACCCCCCAACCCCCCCGCCTCTTCCTTGCAGAAACCTTCATCCGCAACTACACTGTGCTGTACAGCCCCTTGAAGAGGCATCTCGTCGGTGACCCCAGGCCCAGCCAGACCCGCCTGCAGCAGCACCTGGTTCAGGAAATCACCACCAGCACTTTCCACGAGCTGATCCTGAGGAGCCCAAAGGTGAGGCTGGCGCGATGCCCAGAGCTGCTTCCGGGGCTGCTTTGCGTCCCAGCTGCTTTCGGGCTTGGGGAAGGCTGCCGGGACGTTCCCGTTCATGGATCTGCCTTTTTTTTTGGGGGGGGGAGGGGGCTGCCCCCACCCTCCCATGAAAGGTGACCGACGAGGGGTCTCCTTCAACCGTCTCCTGACCTGCCTCTCTCTTCCCGCCCCCCCCTCAGGCTGTCCTGCTGCTCTATTACGCCCCCTGGTGCGGCTTCTGCGCCTCTCTCAGCCACATCTTCATCCAGCTGGCTCGGATTCTGCCCCCCAAGCGCTTCATGGTGGCCAGGTAGGCAGGCGTCTCCTTCCTGCTCCTAGAATCCGAGGGGATCGTTTCCTGCCCCCCCCTCTGCCTTTGGGGGTCCCAATGCCAATTTGGAGCCCAGGAAGCCCCAAGAGGCCCAGTGGGGCTGGGCACCTGCCTGGCCTTTCTCTCTGCAGCCGAGGCCCCTCCTGCCTATTCCTGGCCCTCCATGCTAGGAAAGTGACGGGAAGCGTCTCCCGGGGGGGCCTCGGCCCCCCTTTCCTCATGCCTTTCGAGGGGGAGAAGGGGAGACATCCGGGGTGACCCCTAATTGGCAGGTGCTGTGCATGGCTCAGTGGCCAGAGGAGAGGTGCTCTCTAAAGGCGGTTTCTCTGGTGGTTTTGCCTGTGTTTGCCAGGTGTGACCTGAATGCTGGAGGAACAAATCGCAGTTGTTTAAATCCAAATGAAGCCATTTTGCTGTTTTTGTGTGTCAAGAGATTTTGAGGAGAGCTTGCTGATGCTTGACTCAGCCGCCCCACCCCCCGGCCAGTTGCTCTTCCCTGGGAACAAGGGTCTCTTTGGGACACCCCTCTACCAAAGCCTCCCGCCTGTCACCCCCTTCCCTGTTTTAATAGGATTGACGTTTCTCAGAATGACCTCCCCTGGGAATTCATGACGGACCACCTACCCAACATCCTCTTTTTTCCTCATGATCGGCAAGTAAAACGTTTTTGCATCTGGATTGTGAGGTTCAAGTAAAATATATGTATAATATGGGAAGGAAACTTAATTGTGACAATACTACGTTGGATTAAGTCTTGAGTATAAGCCTTGATTATCAGAGAAAAAATGTATTGCAATTGTACAAGCAGGATAACTGAAGATAAAACAGCAAGCAGATTCCCAGGCTCTCAAATATTCATGAAAAAAAAAGTTCACACCCTAGTTTTATACATCATTAGCATAAAATACTGTTGTTTTTTTCAGAAAGCAGAATTTCAATGCAACAAGAAACCGATTTGTATCTGAAAGGGCTGCTTAAAAGGAACAATTTTTTGTTGTCGTTCTTGCCTCCAAATTAGTGGTGATTCTTGGATGAGCAGTTTTCTTGGCAAGGCCCTTTCCTAGGGTTGAGAGAACGACCGGCCCAAGTCTTGGCACAATTGGAACTCAGAGTCCCCTGGTTAAACAAACACCTCCCAAACCCACATGGTCAGTCTGGATAATCGAGCCACTCCTTAGCCTTGGCATGACGTCATAGGCCAGAGCGGCTTTCTCTAGCAAAGTGAAGCGGCCTTTAAGTGGGTGAGCAGGTTGCCCGAGTGCTGCTCCGTTTCTTCCCACGCCTGCCTTCCAGATTAAAGAGAGATATTCTAAGGCCTAAATGAGCTCCCTAAATGAGGCCCCCACAACCTGCAGAGAGCACAGGAGGCAAAACTGGGCAGCAGAGGTTGCTTCCCCCATTACAGTAGTCTGAATGGGAACACGGACTGCACTTCAGCTGGTGCAGTTCCTGGCACGGTGCAGCTCAAGGGCCGTTTGGAATTTCCCAGGCCCCAAAAGGTCTAAGGAATCAGGCTGATGCAATTGGAAGCCTCGGGGCCACGTTTCCTTTCCATTTGGGTTGGAAAGTCAGGTCGGAGTTTCAGCTATTGTGAAGTCGTAAGGAGCACTGGCCCAGCCGGATTGTGGCTTGGACCTGCAAAGAGGAGGGATCCAGGACTTGCCAGCTGGGATCTTGGCCCAGATGTTGGGCAGGAGGAACAGCTGCTCTGCTGGTTTTCTCAGTATTTCACAGCTGCTGCTGCTGCTGCCGCCACCCAGAGCCTGCATTTCCTGCACTACTGCTCCTGGGATAGGAACTGGCAGAGCAGCTTCCTCCCTGCTGTCTCCAAATCCTCGGGGAGATTCTTGGGAGTGTTACAGTGGGCCCCAAGCTCAGCACCAGAAAGAAGCCAGACTTGCTCCAAGCCAGAAACCCCCCCTCACTGCCCTCCTAACTTAACCAAAGGCTGCCTGGGAGGGACGTGCCAAAAGGGTCCAGTTGCTTTCTCAGGCCAAGAGGGCTTCTCATCAGCAGAAGGTTGTCCAGAAGAGATCGGACAGGGTTTCCTGATTGGCCAGGAGGTTGGACTAGAAGACCTCCAAGGTCCCTTCCAACCCCTGTGCCCAGAAAGGCTCACCCCTCTCTTTGCTCCCCTAGGAAGGACCAGAGCTCCAAGTTCCCTGCAACTTCCCTGATTAGCGTGCCCAACCTCCTGAAATTCGTCCTCTCCCACTCCAGCCCACCCTTTCCGGCTGCGGGTTGGGGGCCCGGCCTCTGGCAAGAGACCAGCCTCCAGCAGGCACGCATCGCCCACCTGGAAAAGGAGATCAGGCTGCTGAAGGCAGAGATCCAGGCCCTGCACCAGGCCCAGGGGCAGCTGCAGGGGCAGCTGACCGAAACCCGGAGCGAGAGCCAGCGGCTGCAGCGAGAGACTCACGCCCTGAAGCAGCAGCAGCAGAGCCACCAGGAGCAGCTGCAGGGGCTGTGCAGTCAGAGGACCTGGCGGCTGGAGGACCTGGCCGAGAAGCTGCGGAAGCTGGCCGAGGCCTCCGAGACTCTCCTGACCGAGAACGCCTTCCTGAAAGTCTTGCTCGCCATTGCAGAGAAACACCGGGCAGCAGAATCGGGCCCGGAACGCCGCCCTCCTGCCGAGGACACCACAGGCCTCCTGCCCCCCGGGCGCGGCCACTTCCCCCCGGTGGAAAAGGAAGGGGCTGCCCCGCTGGACTCCAGGGTCCCCGCAGAGCACAGCAAGGAGAATTGGACCGAGTAGCTCTGCTGAACCTGGGATGACCGGCCAGCCGTGTCCCTAGAAAGCCCCCTCCTCCCTTTTGCTGGACCGGAGGGGGCTGTTTTTTAAGAGAGTCCTGGACTCAAGAGTGGCAGGTCTCGGGATTTGTGAAATTGTCAAATTGCAGGGATTGTTCTTTGCACTTTAAAATTGCACTAATTTGATAAGATTTTGTATCCGTTTATCCTAAATTAAACAACTTGCAGGGTGCCCATATGAGGCGTCTCTTTCCCCACCCATAAACAAAGCAAGATTATTATTCCGTTGGGGCTAACACACAAAATGCTCAGCCTGGTTACCTCCCAGTTTTCTGTTTAGAGAACTTCCAGGAAGGCCGATTGTACGGTTAAGGGGGGGGGGGGAGCAAGGCTTCCGCCCCACCGGGTCCCCCTTCTCTGCCCCTTCTGGCTGGGGGAGCCTCTGCCGTGCCTGACCTGCTCTGGGAGAATGAAGCAGCCTTGGGGGGGCTGGTGGGGGTTGATGAGAGGCTGTCTGTGGCAAGCAACACTGAAGGAGTTGGGGGCCACCAAACTGCTGGCCACGAACAGAGGGGAGGGAGCTCCAGGCAAAGGTGTGCAAGAGCCCATCCGTCCGCAGAGGGGCTGCAATGCGGGATTCTAAGCTGCTCCCCCTTGCAGTTGGGGGAAGAGTGCCGCTTAAGCCAGAGAGAGAGAAAGGAAGGGGGACCTTGCCAAGTGTCGGGGTCTCCCTTTGGCCATAAAAACACAAGTGGAACTGAGTAAAAGGGTTAGGGTCGCAGATGTTGGGAGGTAAGAAGCACGCTGTCTAGCGCTCGGCCGGGAATTCCCAGAAGCCCCTCAAAGAGGGTGGGTTTAGCTACAAAAATACACTCGCTGGGAACTGAGCATTCGAAGAACAGGAGCAAAGCCCCCAGCCCACTCGGAGAGCGGAACGCAGTGCATCCGCAGGCAAGGAGGAAGCGGCCAGTTACTCAGGGGCCTTTCCGCCCCTTTGCTGCACTCCCAGCCGCCTTCAGACTGCACCCCAAAGGGGAAACCGTCATCACTGGCTGTTGGGGGGGGGGGGCTGCTGTTGCTTTCAGCAGTCGGAAATGCCTACTCCCCCTAGACACCCTCCCCCCCTTCCTTCAGGGAGAGCAGACTGCCTTCATTCCTGGGCAGCGTTGGCAGGGCCCTCAGAGAAGGTGGTCCCACCTGCACATTAAAGCACACCAACGAAGCAGCCGTCCAGAACTGCAGCATTTTGTAGCTGCAGCTGCCAGTGCAAGCACCGATCTGTCCTGGAACACGAGGTGCAAGGCCAACATCCCCCCCCCCCCCCCCCGTTGGTTTTGGAGAAACCCCTGCAGGAGTCATGCAGCGTCTCCTAAATCCAAGCACGGCACACAGCCAGCAGGTTGCTCTTTCCCAGTTCCTGGAGAGGCTCCCCAGGCACAGCAGCTGCTCACATTATCTCCTCAGGGCTCAGTGGGCAATTCAAGTAGCAGGTTGAGTGAGTGGGGTTCACGCTGGGCCTCCACCTGTCCATGGCTGGCAACAGACCTTGTGACGGAGAATATGCCCCAGAGCAAGGAGGGTCGTCTTCCCTGGCAGGCATGGCTGCCAGCGGCCAAACGTTGGGTACGGTGGTAGGTGCAGCCCTGCGTGTCCTTCACAGTATCCATGGATTTGCAGCCGGTGCAAATCCTGCTAGCCGTGTGCCTTGGGGCCACCAGGGCTGAGCTTGGGCTTCCTCTCCGTGCAAGGCCCCCGCGCAGAGTACTGGACCAGGAGGAAGGGCTCCTTGGTTTCGCCTTCACCCACGATGCTCTCCTCGTCCTCCGACTGGCTGATCCGCTGGAGGCGCAGGTAGCACCAGCAGCCCAGAATCAGGGCGCCCAGGGCCGCGATGGCGATGAGGATGACGATGACGGTCACCACCCCCGTGGTTGGGCTGTGGTCCATGATGGACATGGCGAGCGGCCGCAAAGGGGCCCCGGGCCCTGCTGGGGGACGCTGCTCCCTCTCTCCCTCCCGAGAGGAAGGGGCTCAGCGCCTGCAGAGAGAGAGAGAGAGAGAGAGAGACCGTGAGGCCAGGAAGCCCAAGGAGCCCCAGCAGAAGGGAGGCGCCTTTCCCGGGTGTCGCCCCAAAGCCCCAGGCTCCTTCCGCCCCACGTTGAGCGCGCCGGGGCCTGCCCTCCACGGGCCGGGCAGGGGCCCCAAGCAGGCACTTCCAGGCCAGCCTGCTGGCTCTGCCTCTTGCCCCGGCCTGCTCAGAGAAGGCGAGGCTGGCCCAGCCGGAAACGGGCTCCGGGCTCCCAGCGCCTGAGCGGGCATTGCCAGGCGAGGAAGGCGCCCCGGGGAGGGGCGGGGGGCGGCGGGGGCTTCAGCGCTCGACTCCGCCGCTCAAAGGCCCGCGATGACAGCCCCCACCCCACCCCCGGGAGAGGCAGCGGCTGCGCCCCTCGGCCTCGCTGCCCTCCGCCGCCTCCCTTGGCAGGAAAGGCCGAAGCGGAGACGGGACGGGGGCAAGTCCAGCGGAGGGCAGAGAGCCCGTGAGGCCGCAGGCCCGGGCCAACCGCCCCCCCACCGCCCCCGGCCTGACTCGCCCGCCCCCCGAGCCCGGGACCCGGGAGCAGCTGCGCCGGAGCGGCCGAGCCGAGTGCGTCACGGGCTCCGGGGCAAAGGCGCGCGCTCGCCGCAGCCGAACAAAGGAGGCCGTCGCGGGGCCGACGCGGCCATCGGGTGGAGGGGCTCGGCCGAAGCCGAGGGGCGGGCCCGGCGCAGCAGCCTCCCTTTGTCCGCCCAGCGCGGGGCCGGGGAGGGCGGCGGTCTCTTCTGCCGCAGGCGCCGTTGCAGGCCCCCCCGCCCCCCCCGCCCCCCCCCCAGGCTCGGCGGCCCCGGCCCTGCAGCTCACCAGGGAGGCGGCGCTTCCGGCCGGGGAGGCGTCGAGCTAGAGCGACCGGCCGCCGTCCTCCTCCTCCTCCTCCTCCTCGCCCGGGCCCTCGCGCGCCGCAGCCCCCGCCCAGCCACCATGCCGGAGCCGCGGAGCGCCCGCACTGGCGTCCGCCGCCTCGGCGCAGCCTTATAAGGAGCGGCGGCGGCCAATCAGCGCGGGCGCTGGAGCCCGCTTGGCAACGGCGGGGGGCGTCGCTCTCCGGCGCCGGCGGCTCCCTCGCCGCGTCGCGCCCTGCCGGGTGGGCTGCAACTCGGCCCCGGGGGAGCCCGTCGGGGTCCCTGCCCCGAGGCCTTGGGAGCTCCGCCGCAGTTCGGGCGCTTGGAGCTTCCCCGGTGCCGCCTCGTCCTCCTGCGGATCTCCTGCCCATGAGGCCCCCAGCACCGTCTCTCCCTCTCTCCCTGGTCTCTTGACCTGGCGGAGTCCAGAGCTTCCTGCCCATCCTCCGCTCCCTCTTCCGACTTTCTCTCAGGAAAAGCGTGATGAGAAGGCCGAGAACCGAAGGCAGAGCCTCCCCCCGCCCCCCGCGCCCGCAGGGGATGTTCAGGGCAGGGGTCCCACAGGCCCAGGGCAAAGGGGAGCCCGGTCCGAGGCCGGTGGGGTCCCCTCCTCCCTCCCTTGATAGGTTTCACTTTCCAAGGCAGCTTGGAATAATTTGAACCAGGCAGGAAAACTGGCTGGCTGTGACACACCTTCCCCATAACCAGCCCTGGCTGCTTTCTGAAGCCATCTTTGCTCCAGGCCCTCCATCGGCTCCCGAGGCGGCAGCAGCAAGGAAGGCAGCTTTTCTGGAGGTCCCACAGATCAAGGCAAAGGCTCCCTCTGGTATTCCGAGCTAACCTCAAGTAGGATGAGTGCAAGAACCCCCTTCCCACTGCAGCTTCGGAAAAGGATTGTAGGTGGTCATTCTAAAACTGGTCAAGCAAATGTAGTGCTTAAACCAGCAGCCCCTAAATGCAGAAATATGTCATTGCAAACGGATGGAACTGCCATGATGATGATGGTGCCCATGGCAGGATTGATTGTAAGCAAAAGTGGCCTTCTGCCCAGGGAAACCATGCCCAGTAGCTTCTCTCCCACCCACGCACCTGTCTTCAGGTATTGTGCTGGTCACTACCCTCCATTAAGGCCTCTTGATGCTGTTTCGAAGGAACATGCGGCATTCACCACGGCTCTGCTCGCCACAGGAAGGACCATCGCTTCCTGCGCGCTCTTTGCAGCTTTGCAGCAGATCCAGGAGAAGCAGTTTGCGCTGCCTACATGCTCAGACCTTCTGCAAACCCATCTGAGAAAGAGGTCTGTAGTGCCACCCCATTTTTAGGATCATTTCCTGGCCTTCTTTGGGACCCTCCAAAGTTTGTGGGATTTTTATCAAAGTCTTCTCATTCTTTCTCAAAGGATAGGCTTGTTTGCTTGCTGTGGAAGACTTTTTAAAAATACTTTTTGGTTAACATTGTCAGATTATATTATATTTTTATACTAAGCTATTTTTGCATGCACTGCTACTATGGAAAAAAGTTAGTGTGGCATATTTAAAATAAACGGGGAGATGGGGGGAGACTAAAGCTGCATACATCTCCTCTCTTGGCCGAGAACACCAGGCAGCAGTGGAGGGAAAAGGAGTCATACAAAATCCGGTTTTGCATGTAACAGCATCACACAAATGACGACCCTGTACACACCTGCTCACATAAACAGACCTAACGAGACGTTTCCTGGCCTCTTTGCTTTTTCCTGTAATGGAAGCTTAAATTATTTATATTTTCTCTCCAGCAGAGCAGACTGGGGAGAATTCCCCCTCTGCATCCAACTTCTTGGTGCAGCTGGGAAACCAACATGGCTCGTGGGGGGAGCCTTCCTTTGAGGGGGGAGGCGAGACAGCTGCTCCTGGCCCCAAAGGGTTCGGGCTTCACGACTGACCGTTGGAGTGAGAGAGCCCTCAACTGCCTCCCTGTGATCTCATGCGCAGGAAACGGCAGGCAAAGTATTTTTAGAGAGGGTTGACCTGTCACGATGCTCACAAGTAGACCAAGAGTATTTTATCTGCAGAAAATGCAATGGACAGCAAGGGGACACCACAGGTTCTTGGCACATAAATGCTCTTTAGCAAACAGGTAGAGAATGTCAGAAGCCAAGGAAGTAAATTTCGCCGACTGAAGTGAATTTCGAGCAGGCCGAGGGAAGATCTGGAAGCAACACCACCTTCAGCCATGCTTTTTCATTGAGTTCCTGCCCAATGTTTCTCCGAGCTGGCGACGGCTCTCCTGGACTTATCCCTGAAAGCTGAACTGGGCTGATCCCCGTGGCCCTGGGGTGGCAGAGCTCTTGGCCCGGGGGGGGGGGCCCCTTTTGCCCCCCCCCCCAGGCATTTCTGCAGCAGCAGCAGCAGCAGCATTGGGGCAGAGCTCCCTGACTCAGAATGGAGGCCCAGCATCGTGGCTTTCACTGACTTTCAGTAAGACCCACCTGGCTTGAAACGCAGACTGGGAAAGGAAGTGCCCTGCTGCCCACCCCCCGCCCACCCCCAGCCTCACGGGGAGGATTTGTCCTGCTGCAATCTCTGCCGGAGAAGCAAAGACAATCTCTGGAACAGAATTAAGCAAAGACAGTGGCAGAAGGGCCGTGTCCCTCTGTTCAATGTAAGGTGGACTAGAGACTCTTCAGGTGTCCCACCGAGCACCAGGTGTTTTGGGAGCCAGTTCCTCCTCTCCAGTTTCGGAGGGGAGGGGCTGGGGGGGCGGTGGCAGAGGAGGCTGCTTGACTCCCGTCCTTGCGACCTGCACGGTGCTCTGGGCCATCTCTTCTTTCTCCTGCCAGCCCTTGCAGGACCACCACCACAGCCAGTCTTCCCAGTTCAGCATTGTCTCTGGGACCATAACCTGCAGAAGGGGAGATGGGGATGACCCACACTCACCCTCCCCATCCTTCTTTCACGAGGGAGCCTGTGATGGGGGGCGGGGGGGGGGGCAGGATTGGCTCCAGGGGCTGCGCAGCCTGGAAAAGAGGAAAACAGGTCAGTTGTCGAGAAAGGCAGGAGCTTTAATTAGCAGGACGATCTTTTTATGGAAGTCTGAGCTCAGCAAAGGGAGGGGGGGCGAGAGGAGGGGGGTATACATGGAAGAACGGAGAGAGGAACAAGGGTGGGGGAGGCAGAAATGAAAGCGGGGGGGGGGAGCCCTTAATTGTGGGGCCCCATTTTAAGCCAGACTATAGCAATGAGCTGCTCTTCCCCCTCCCTGCAGGTGGTGGTGACATGTTCCAGGAGAACCGGAACATTCAGAAACCTTCGGGTCCTCCAGATTGCCCGGATGGCTGCTCTCTGTGCGCTCCTGGCCACCCAGAGACCCTCCACCCGCGTTGCTCCAGCTGAGCCTCGGCTGCTGAGGGCTGTCAAAGCAGAGAGGCCCACCCCGTGCCTCCAGCACATCTCCGGGAGGAACCGAAGGAAGCCTGCGACCCCCCGACGGCCACCCTGCCAAGCGGACGAGGCTGGCTCCGGAACACGCCTGGGGGCAGCCATGGCTCCCCGCCTGGGCCCTGGGCAATGCCACCTTCAGCCCGGGTGGGCGTGGGTGGAGTGGCCCGGGAGCCTCCCTGGGCGAAGGCTGCCGGCAAAGCCTTGGTTCTGCCAGGCCGGAGAGCCGCCTGACCCCGCCGCCGGCTCCAGGCAGAAAGCCCTCGCTTGCTCGACGGCTCGCAAAGCCCGACCAGAAGAAGAGCGGAGCGGAGAAGCCGGGCCGGGGGCGCCCTTCGCCCGGCCCGACCCCGGCGCGCCCCTTCCTCTCGGCAGCGCGGCCCGGTCCCCGAACGGCGGCGGCGGCGGTCAGGAGGGCTCGGCGGCCTGGCAAAGCACCTCGGCGGCCCTTTCTGGGCTTCCTGCCCGGGGCGGCGGCCCGCCAAGCCGGCCGGGAGCCCAGCGAGGAGGGCTGGGCTGGGGCGGGGCGGGCCCTGAAGGCGCGGGAGGGGCGCGGAGCTGGAGGTCCAGCAAGGCGGAAGAGCCCGACGGCCAGCAGGTGAAGCGTGCCTGGCGAGCGGGAGGTAAGGCGGCCCTCGCCCTCCGGGGCCCCGCGCGGGAGGGCGCGCCGGCTGGGCCCCTCGGGGCCCGGCGGGGAGGGCCCGGGAGCTCTGGCCCCGCCGGGGGAGCGGCGGCGGCGGCGGCGGCGGCGGCAGCTTTTCCGAAGCGCGGCCGCTGCTCCTTCTCGGCAGCCTCCGCCTGCCGGGCGCGTCCGAGCCCCACCGCGGCCGGGGGGTTGCCCCCTGCGGCAGCGCCCCGAAGAAGCCCGTGGCAGAAGGACGAAGCGGGCGGCTTCTGCCGCACTCTCGGCTGGCCTTCCCGGGGGCCGCCGCGGCGCTTCTACCGGGGGAGGGGAAGGACGGGAAGGGGAGGGGGGGCTCCGGCCCGGACCCCCGCTCCGCCCCCCGGCTTAGGAGCACAAGCGGGAGCCGCTCGGGGAAGGGGGGGGGCTTTGCAAATGAGGCGGCCTGGCCTCGGGGAGACCCCCTCCCTCAACCCAGGGGGTCGGTGCTTGGCTTTGGGGGGCAAGAAAGAGGCCCCGAGCCCAGGGCAGGCAGCCGCCCCTTTCAGTGCTTGGGCCTCAGGCCTTTGGGGGATGAGTGATGAGGGAGGTGATGGAGGATGGATGCCACAGGAGGCAGGGCAGCGGGGGCCGTAGCACACGGAATGGTTAGAATCACAGAGTGCAAGGACTGAGGACATTAGAGACCATCTAGTCCAGCCCATGGCCCATAAGGAGAAGAGGGAAAGCCTTTCTCAGGCTTTCAGATGGACCATCAGCTGAGAGGCCTGTCCTCTGTCCCATTATCCTGTGCTTTTCTTCTGAAGCAGTTTCTTTTGAACCCGCATCCGGTTTCCTGCTGGGGCTGGGCATTGAAACTTTCCACTCGCTCCTTATTTATTTATTTATTCATCACATTTATGAAGTGACTCTGGCAGCAGAGTTTAACCATCATCATCCTGGCATCCTGAAAATTGCTCCACCGGTGAGGCTTCTTGGCACAATCACAGCCCTGGGTATGGATTATGGCATCTCCGCTTCTTCTCTCCAGGCCACGTCCACCCCCACCCCCACCCCGCCCAGTCCTAGCACTGCTTGGGACAGTTGACCACTTCCCCACACACTGGGATGGGGCAGGCGGTCATGGTGGGTGACCATTACTCACACAGGAGGTGACAGTGTAGGGCAGCATTGTGACCCCGGGCAGGTGAGCTGCTTTGCCCCACAGGCAGTCCAAGGGGCTGCTGCCCTCTCTGAGGCTGGCATAGCAGTGGCTCCTTCTGACCTCACAAAGGCTGGCTGCCCACCCCCCGCTTCTTAGGGGCCCGGGCCTCTCCAGAGCCACTCTGGGGCCTCAGCAGGTGCGTGGGTCTCTCCCCCTTGCGGAAGTCTAACAGCAACTGGCTTGGCTGAGATGGAAATGCCCCCCCCTCCCCCCAGGTCCTGGGCAGGGGGGGCTAGCTGCTCCCCTTGCAGAATGGGACCCCTCCCCCCCGCACTTTGCAGCTGCTGCCTCCTCTGCCCAGGCCTCTTCGCTGGGGAAGGGGGGGCCCAGGAGGCCATGGCTGCAGGCAACTGCTCTGCCTGTGGGAGCAAGCGGGGCGTGGGGGCGGCTTTGCTTCATTCAGGGAAGTCCTGGCAATCAGGCCGAAAGTCCCGGTTGTGTAACCAGGAGCATTGCAGAATGGCAGCCTGGGGAGAGGCAGTTCCGGCTTCGGCTTCGGGGAATGGCAGGGTGGGGTTTGGCTGTGTGGAGGCAGAGCGGCTGGGGCTGCCTGCCAAAGGTCTGGTTTGGGGGCCCTTGACCAATTGTCCCTCCTGGCTTTCTGACCCCTGTGAGGCCCTTGAAGCCCTGGGGGAGGGGGGGAGCAGCCAAGGTCAGCCCCCAGGAGGAAGGCAGTGCTGAGAGCAGGCTGCAAGGACCAGCAATGTTTTTGCATACTTACCAAGTTGTGCAACCTCTTCTCAAACTCCTCCTGGAGCCCCTTTCAGGGCTGGTGGGGCTGCCCCCTTCCTGCCAAGGGCCCTCCTGCCACAGCCACCCCTCACTTCCATCTGTTTGGGTTTTGTTCTGGCTGTTCAGACCTTACAGAAGCCACTTCCCTGAATGAAAAGTTTGAGACCAAGATGGTGTGTGTGTGTGTGTGTGTGTGTGTGTCTTTCTCTGAAGTTCTTCCTTTTTCTTCTGAGTCATTAGAGCCCCCCCCCCCCCCCCCCAGCACTTTCTTCCTCTTAGGGACCCTGGTGACACCACCCGGTTTGGCAGCCTTCTCCCGGGGCAAAGGAGATCTGGGCTAAGGGCCTGCTCTGGGTGGCAGCATTCCTGGCACAAGAGTGGCAGCCCTGCGAGGTAGGCCGGGCATGCCACCAAGGCCAACTGAGGGCTGTACCTCTCTCTCTCTCTCTCTCTCTCTCTCCCATCCGGTACTAGACCAGACCAAGATGGCGTTGCTTTGTGTCTTTCTCGTGCCCCCCCCCCCCCCGCTGTGCAGCTGACTCAGAGCTTCATTGTTTGACCTGTTTTGTAAATATTGTTGGGGGAGGGGTGGCGTTTAATTCCTGGAACAGGAAACAGATGCCTGTTTTCTGGGAATGCAGGCAAGGAGCCGGGGGGTGGGGGGATGACCAGGAGTGCGGAGCTCCTCTGGGCCGCTCCTGCTCCCCCCCCGCCCGGCAGGGCTGTTCCTCCAAGGGGCCGGCCAAGCACCCCAGCTTCCTTTTGGCCTCTCTCCTAGAGACATGGCTGCTCCTTCCTCAGCTCCTCCACCGTCTTACGAAGAATCGACCAGCACCAGTAATCCAGTGCCGTTTCCCTACCCGCCTGCAGGGGGAATTCCTGCGAAGGGGGCACCGGCCGCTTACCCAGCCCAGCCCCAGCCTCCGTTCCTAGCCCAGCCCTATGGCATGCAACCCCAGCCGGCCCCAGCGATACCTCCAGGTGAGTCCCAGCGGTGCCTGCAGGAGGCTGCCCGGGGGGGGGGGGAAGAGAGCTGGTCTTGGGGCATCGCAATGGGCACCCCGGAACCTCCCGCCTCTCCCTCTCTCTCCAGTGCCCCTACAAACTGTCTACATCCCGGGGCCCCTCATCTTCCTGGAGCACCCCATGCAAATCTGCTGCCCTGCCTGCAACCAGGTGATTGTGACCCGCATCTCGTACCAGCCCGGAGCTCTGGCCTGGCTCTCTTGTGGTGGCCTCGCCCTGCTGGGGTAAGTTGGTCCCATGGGAAGCAGGGCAGCCCCTCCTCCCCCCCCCGCACAGCTGGAAAGCAGCAGCCACACTCTGCCTTCTCCCGCAGGTGCTGGCTGGGCTGCTGCCTGATCCCCTTCTGCGTAGACGCCATGCAGGACGTCCAGCACTTCTGCCCCTGCTGCAACGCCTTCCTGGGCGTCCACAAGCGCCTCTGAGTGGGTCTGGGCCCCCGTGCCAGGAAGGCAAAGCCTCCTTCGCTTCGCCATGCGGGGCCCGTGCAGCCTCTCCTCAAGACTTTGGAGCAACACAGACCGCCTCTCGAGCCTTTGCCCCCAACCTCGGCCTGCCGCAGCCTGCACAGAGGCCCATGGGAGGAGCAAAACGACCCTGCGGAGGCTGCCCCTCTGGGCCCAGCCTCCTCTGCAGGGGGAGCTTGCGGCAGCACCTACAGAGGCTGATGGCAGGACACTTCCAGGGTTTGACCCAAGCCCTGCAGGGCTCCCACCCTTTGCCTCTGGGCACACGCCAAGTAATGGAGCCACCGATGTGGGCGGCAGGAGGGCCTGCTGCGATGCCAGGGCTGGGTGTTCCCTTCAGTCTCAGTGTTTGCCCCAGCCCTCCAAGGGGGAAGAGAGGCCCTGCGGCTGCCGTGGAAAGCACAGCGGGTGCTGCTGGCCCAGGGCAGCCTGACCGAGGCTCAGCTTTGTCCTCGGGGGCTCAAGGGGGCTTCCTGCGGCCAGGGAGCAGGGCCTTTGGTCCTGGGGATTAGTAGGGGGGGGGGAGAGCAAAGTAGCTGGAGAGGGAGGCGAATCTCTGGAGCACTTTAAAGATGTTGGCTCTGCAAGTCCAACTTTATTCTGATTTGCTTCCAAACGTTAGTCCTGACTTTTTCAGCTTTTGAAATAAAACTGCCTTGCAAAAAGAAAGCGCTGCAGGCGACCCTAGTTTTTCCGAAGGGAGAGACCTGGCCCAGCCCACCTTGTCGTGGGGAAAAAGCGAGGCTGGCCAGCGCTCGGGGCGTCTGTGGGGCCAGGGCGCGCTTCAGGGAGGCAGTCGGACTGGGGCCAGGCAGCCTAGATCAGGGGCACCACTTCACCTTCAAAGCGACTGGTGGACATGTGGCTCCCGAGACCCCCAAGCCGCTTGGGAAGGAACAGAAAGGGTCGTGTTCCAACCCAAAACAATTTACTACAAAAATAGCAAAGAAAATTTTAGTCTGCTCAACTTTAGAGAAATTTATTTACAAAAATTAAATAATTATCTTCTATGAAAAGAGATGTCTAGGGTGTTTTCCCTTAAAAAACGGTCCACATTATTCAAACAAACGTTTCTAAACTCCCAAGCTGGCCGAGGGCCTTCCTTCACTTAACATGGGACAAGGCAATGCCGGAAGATATGCGAAGGCGCCTGGGGGGCATAGAAACTTCGCATTTTTCCATCATAACAGCATCTGACCTTCTGCAACTCCTGAACGAAAACTGTTAAAAACCTGAAAGGGCCCTTTCTGAAACTCCTGCAGCCGAACCTACAGCTTCTCTGGATCCTTTCTCCCACCACCAGAATAAGATAAAATACAGATTTTTGGGTGCAGATGGAAATTCCAGCAAGATTCAAGTCAGGGGAGCCCCTTCTGCGCTCCAAGCAGACATGCTCCCTGCCTCCAGCGAGGAGGAGGAGGAAGCAGCTGCTTTGCTGTCCGGGTGCCAGCTCTTGGTGCAAAACGGGAGCACAGGCAACTGCGGATCCCAGCAGATGCTGCCAGCTTGCCTGTGCTTTCCCTTGGGCCTGTGTGTGTGTGTGTGTGTGTGTGTGAGTGAAGGCCGGCTTCACCTGGTCAAACCAAGCCGGCATCTTTGGCCATGTTGCAGAAGATCCCTCCCCTCTCGATGAGGTCAGCAGGAGCCCCGCACTCCACGATTCGGCCTTTCTCCAGGACGATCACCCTAAATGGACAACAGCCCCGTCCATCACCCTCTTCCCTTCCCTCCACCACAAGGGCCACCCTGGGCCAACCCCTGCCAGCAGTCGATGCCCCCGCAGCCTTACCGCGTGTAGTCCATGATGGTGTTCAAGCGGTGCGCAATTGTCAGGACCGTGCAACCCTCAAACTGTGTCCGGATCGTCGACTGGATGAGGCTGTCCGTCTCAAGGTCTACCGCGGCGGTGGCTTCGTCCAAAACCAGGATTTTGGATTTCCGCAGCAGGGCCCGAGCGAGGCACACCAGCTGCCGCTGACCCACGCTTGAAGACAGAAAGGGTAACTTTGTTTCCTTGGAAACAAAGCAGGAATTTTGCAAACAGAGGCGATGGGCGTCCTTGTGCCCGTTTCCCAGTCACAGGCCGGAATAAGGTGCTCTGTGTGCACGTGTGTGTGTGTGTATCCAGAGCCTGCCTTCTGTTTATCTCAAAACTGACTTTTCACAGCTGCTCCTGAAAGGGTGGAGATGTTTGCCTGGATCTGTTGGACTTTGATAATTTCAGTCGCATTTTCCAGGCCCCTAGCAAAAACTGCCCGATTACAGCCCATATCAGAAATCAATTTCCTTGAGTACTTAAGACGTCCACTGCACCCTCCTTTTGCAAAAAGGCTGCAGCCAAAATGGGCAGCTCCCTTTTTTGCAATGAAAGAAAGAACAGGACCAGAAAAAAACAGAAAAAGATCCAGAGGGAAAAAGGAACAGCAAAGAAGAAAGAGAACTGAATATATTAAGGAAGAAGAAATGCGTTCTCTGTTATCCAACTGGAAGCATTAAATTGGTACAATATATAAAGACGATCTTGTGTCAGTTGGGTGTGTGATCCTCCATAACGACACAGTTACGAGAACACAACTATCTCTAAGGTCTCTGAGTCAGCCTGTCCTTGAGTTGGTGACTAAACAGGCGAACGCTGGAGGACTGCGCCCCTCCCCTCCCCCCAGGAAAGAGAACCAAGCAGGAAAACACCAGGCACTGTTTTACTCCTGGCGCTGTGCTGAGACAAGGCTGCTTTGCGGGGCGGAGCCGGGGCCACCTGCTTCTTCCCAGGTTCCCAAACAGCCAGAACCACACCTGGTTCTTAGGCCTGTGAATCAGTCCTGGAGGGAGAGCTGGGCTCACAGCCAGAGAGCAGCCAAAGCTGATCCAAAGCTGTGCAACGCCTGCAAAGCCAGCAGATGCTTCCTTGGCAGTGCCAGCGTAACGAGGGGCCGGCGGAGCCACAGTTTAGAGGCAAACAAGCTTCACGGAGCTCAGCATCATGTTCTTAAACACGTGCCTGACGTGCGCGCACCTTTGTGCGTGGTAAAAACTCTGGGGCTTTCGAAGCCTTGTTGCCTGCATACCTGAGGTTTTCTCCGCCCTCTGAACATTCGTGGAGGAGCTTATCAGGAAGGGAGGAGACGAAGACTTTCAGGTGAGCAAGCTCCAGCGACATCCAGACGTCGTCATCGGAGTACTGCTCGAAAGGGTCCAGGTTCATGCGCAGGGAGCCAGAAAACAGGATGGGATCCTAGGTGGGCAAGAGGAAGCGGGAAAGAGAACGGACCCTCCAGGACAGGTCACAGAAAGGGCCCCTCAGCCGCTTCGTGAGGCAGTTTCTCCCCCCTTCCTGGAACAGCCCTCCGGGTGGGAAGCTTAAAATCTCCAAAGGGCTTCAAAGCTACAAACGCACCACTGAGGTGGACCTGGGCGTTGCGTTTTCCATGGGCTCAAATCCAGGCTCTGCTTGCCTGCCTTCCCTCCCAGGGGATTCCCTTCAATGGGACTCCGGTTGGGGCGGCGGGGGGGGGCAGGAGAAGGGGCCTTGCAGAGAAGGTCAGGCCCCAAGGCAGCCCCTACTGACCTGCGGGATGATGGTGATCTTGAAGCGAAGGTCGTGCAGCCCGATTCTGGCGATGTTGACCCCGTCAATGAGGATCTCTCCTTCCGCTGCCTCTTTGATCCGAAACAAGCCCAGCATCAGGGAGGACTTGCCAGCCCCCGTCCGTCCGACGATGCCCACCTGCCGAGGCCGGAGAGCAGAGATGGGACGGCCTGCAGCCGAGGCAGAAACAGGGCCCCGCCTCCCAAGAGGAGCTGAGCCCATTTGGGGGGGTTGTGTGTGGGCAGCACCGGACGGACATTCAGGAAACCACCCCAACCTCTGCAGGCAGAGGCGGCTCTGCTGAGGGACCCTCGGTGGGGGCCACGGTCTCTGTACTGCTTCCCAGGTCCAGATGGGCATGGAAGGGGCTCCTGCCTTCTCCAGCTTCTCCCCCCCCCCCCCCCCCCCCCCCAGGGCCAGCAAGCCTCTTCTCGGCCACCTTCCATCCTGCTTCCAACCACCAGCATTGCCGGGAACTCACTTTCTCCCCACCACGTATCACCACGGAGACGTCCCGCAGCACAGGGTCCATGTCGCCCCGGTAGCGCAGCCCATAGCCCCGGAACTCCACCCGCCCTTCCTGAGGCCAGCCGGGTGGGGCAGCCTCTCGCTCAGAGGTCCACTCGGCCTGCAAGAGGTGGGAAATTAGGCGCTCATGCGCCCCAGCCATTCCGCGGTTTGGGGACCTTCCAAGACCACCCACCGGCTCAACCCTTAGGCCCAGCCCCCCTGCCCAGCACTTGGGCCTCTCAAATGGACTAAGGCAAACCATGCCACCACTCTTGGCCACCGGAGGGCACTGTTGCTCTGCAAGTGGAGTGGCCTGGAAACTGGATGGGGCCCCTGTGGCCCCTTTGCCCTCTGATGGACAGGACCCAAGCTCAGGCAGGGGCATTCCGAAGCATTAACCAGGCGGAACCTTCTCGCTTAGGGGCAGTCTATCTTAAGTGAGAACATGAGAGGGCGCAGGTCTTTCTTACGGGTGGACCACAGAATGGGGGGGGGTGGGGGGGGCGGCGCATAGGATCTATTCTAGGAGGAGTTCAGGGGGCTGACCCCCCCACCCTCTCCAGGCTTTGGGGCCCAGCAACCCATCCCAACTGTGAGCAGAGACTGGCCTCCTTTTCCTTCTCCGAGTATTCCTTGACTCTTTCCACAGCCACAATGTTCGTCTCCATCTCGGAAGACATTCGGACCAGCCAGTTTAAGTAAGTAGTGATCTGCAAAGGAGGGGCGCACTGCTCAGGCCCGGAGGAATCGGAGCAGGAGGGCACCGTCTTGGAGGCAGCCGCCAGCAGGGACGGTGGGCCCGGATTTAAGGTGAACGCAGCCCACGAGAGGCTGCAGGGAAGGGCACCTGGCCCAAGGCAGGACTGGGTCTTAGGGGCCAGAAGAAGCAGGCTGCCCCTCTCCTGGCCAGCCAACCCCCTCTCGTGCGAGAGGCCACGGCCATCGCATCTATGCGATCCTAAAATCCCCCCTTTGACCGGAATCCCTCCCACGGCAGGATGCGTCTCACGCAGGGGCAGGGCTCAAACCCGCCAGGCCGCCCTGCAGCTGTCCCACCTGCAGCGAGTAGGAGATGGACAGGCCCACCAGACCCGGACTCAGGCTGTGGCGAGCGATGACAGCAAACAGGGCTGCGAAGAGGACGATGCAGTTGCCCACCGACTCCAGCCGGATGGCCAGCCACCTGCGCAGGCCAGGGAGGGCAGGGTTAAGGGTTAAAGGTTAAAGGCCAGGGAGGGCTTCCCGGTCCTCTCCCCAACAGGGTTACCGGTTGGCCACGATGCTCGGGTAGTAGGCCTTCTGGTTTTCATCCACTTTCAGGTCACTCTGCCTGATGAACCGTTTCTGCTCTCCAAAGGCTCGGATGACGCTGACGCCCAGGAGGGTCTCGTTGAAGTGTGAGTAGACCGGGGAGCGGCTGACCGACTCCAGGCGCTTCAGCTGGCGTGAGGTGGCAACGTAGAAGCGCTGCAGAGAAAGCACGAGAAGGGCTGGCGGTCAGAGGGGCCCCCAGAACCAGGAAGGGAGCCCCATGGAGGGCATGCGGGGCCCCTACCTGCACGAAGAAGTAGGTGAGTCCCAGGGGAGGGATAACCACGGCTGCAATTGGCGTGGCCAGCAGGATGATGACGCAGGCGCCCAGCACGTTGAAGA